CCCCATCCCCCATTTACTCCTCAGAGAGTGTAAGGCACATTTCTTTGAGGAAGGTCCAAGGTCCTCCCCATTGAATCTAGGCTGAGCAAGGTATCCAGCCAAAGAGAATAGGTTCCCAAAAGGCCAGTACAAGCAGTAGGAATAAATTCTGGTGTCACTGTGAGTGGCCCCTCAGTCTGCCCCAGCCATACAACTATCACCCACATTTAGAGGCTCCAGTTTGGTTCTAATGCTGGTTCCTTCCCTGTCTAGCTGGAGTTGGTGAGCTCCCATTAGCTCAGGTAAACTGTCTCAGTGGGTGTCCCCATCATGGTCTTGACCTCTTTGCTCATATTCTCACTCCTCCCACTCTTCAACTGGAGTTTGGGAGCTCAGCCCAGTGCTCCACTGTGGGTCTCTGCCTCTGTTTCCATCAGATGCTGGATGAAGGTTCTATGGTGACATTTAAGATATTCATCAATCTGACTACAGGGCAAGGCCAGTTCAGGCACCCTCTCCTCTATTGCTTAGGGTCTTAGCTGGGGTCATCCTTGTGGATTCCTGGGACTCTCTCTAGTGCCAGGTTTCTTGCTAGCCCCATAATGTCTCCCTCTTATTCTTCACTTTTTATTTTTTAATAATATTGGTAAATATCTGCAGACATAGCACAAAACATAACCCTCAAACCATTTTAGGCGCATGGTTAATGGCAGGAAGTGCACTCACATTGCTGTGTACCCGTCACTACCCTCTTTCTCCATATGCCTTCCGTATTCCCAAGGGAAACTCCACACTCATCCACAATGATGCTGACTTAGAGTTTTTACTACTGTGAAGAGATACCATGACCATGGCAACTCTTATAAAGGAAAGCATTTAATTGATGTGGTGGCTTACAGTTCCTGAGTTGCAGTTCATTATCATCATGATGGGGAGCATGGCAGCGTGCAGGCAGACAGGGTGCTGGCCACAACTTGATCAGAAGGCAACAGGAAGTAAACTCAGTGTCACTCACTAAGGGAAGCTGGGGCAAAAGAGACCTCAAAGCCCACCCCCACAGTGATATACTTCTTCCAACAAGACCATACCTACTCCAACAAAGCCACACCTAACGGTGCCACTCCCTATGAGCTTATGACAGCCAATTATATTCAAACTACTACATTCCACTCCCTGGCACCCATAAGCTTGTAACAATATCATAATATAAGTTGTATTTAGTTCAACTTTAAAAGTCCCTATAGTCTATCACCTTTCAACAAGGTTTAAAAGTCCAAAGTTCGAAGTCTCTTCTGAGATTCATAAAATCTCTTAACTGTAATTGTAGTTATGTTAGGTATATACAGAAATAGAGAAAGGTAAAAGCCTAGAGGCAAAGGGTAGATGGGATGATTTAAGTTAAGTAACGCTGACAAGAAAGAAGCCAAACAAAGGTCAGTCATTCATAAGAAAGAATAAACCACCTTGCGTTTGTTTGGGAACTGGGTGGCAGCCCCCCCCCCAAAGAGCCAAAGAGTAAAAGTTAACAACTACAGCACTTCCTGTTTACTCAGGTAATATTTTATCCTTCTCATGGGGGTTGAATTGTTACCAAAATTAAAAAAGAAACTTACAAAAAAGATACAAAGTTTATAAGGTTGAGAGACATAAAAGCTTAAGTTATCTAAGGAAATGTTTTAAGGTCTAAAAGGATATTTTTAGTCTAGCAATACAAGTTGTGATAGAAAATGGTTTAGGTATAAAACTTTGGACTCACTATGATAGGACAGATAATAGGGTGTTTTCTCCAAATTTGCCAAATACAAATGGACGAACTGAACATTGTGAATGTAATTATTACCTGGTAATTGTTCTTATTGCATTTAGTTTTGATGTAGACTTAAAATCTTTCTTTTTATTTAGATGAAAAGGGGGAAATACTATGGTTGGTCTTTCTTTGAACTGCCAAATCTCAAATAATGACATAGGAACTTTATATTAATTAGGAAAGCTTGGCCTTATCTTAGGCATGTTCCCAACTAGCTCTTATAACTTAGATTAACCCGTTTATATTAATCTACTTTCTGTTACATGGCTTGTTACCTCTCTTCAGTACTGTGTATCCCACTTCCTCCATGTCTCAATGCTGAATCTTGCCTCTCTTCTTCCCAGAGTTCCCATCTCTGTCCAGAAGTTCCACCTATCCTCTCCCATGTAGCTATTGGCTGTTTAGCTCTTTATTGAACCAATCAAAAGCTGCCTTGGCAGAGACACATCTTTATGTGTACAAAAAGATTATCCCACAGCACAGCTTGCCCCTTTTCATTATATGTCTCCATTAGAGTTAACACTAATAATCAACAACAGAGTCTATACTAGGCTGTTTTGAGATTTCCTCTGCCAAAAGAATTAATCCAAAACTTTTCACTTTAGCCTCAGGCAAACTTTCTGGACAATGGCAAAAGGCAGCTACGTTCTTTACGAAAATATCACAAGAACAATTTCTAGGCCACATGTTAATATTCTTCTCCTCTAAACCTTTTGAGCCAGCCCCTGACATTTGAAATAACTCTTAGCACCACTGTCTTCCATGCCCCTACTAGTATGGCCCATTAAGCAGTGCTTAAAGCATTCCACTGCTTTCCTAGCCTAAAATACCCAAATCTAAATTCCTCCAAACAAAAACATAGTCAGGCTTATCACAGCAATACTCAACTTCTGTTTTAGTTAGGGTTTCTATTGCTGTGAAGAGACAATATGACTATGGCAACTCCTATAAAGGAAAACATTTAATTGGAGTGGCTCGCTTACAGTTTCAGAAGTTCAGTCCGTTATCATCATGGCAGGGAGCATGGTGGCATGCACAGACATGGTGCTGGTTACACCTAGATTATAAGACAACAGGAAGTCAGTTGTGACACTGGGAGTAGCTTTAGCATAGGAGAACTCAAAGCCCACTCCCACAGTGACCCACTTCCTCCAACAAGGCCACACCTTCTAGTACTGCCACTCCCTTTAGGGGTCATTTTCTTTCAAACCACCACAGATACCTACCATTAGCTCCCTCAAGTTCCCAGTAACCAACATTCTATTTTCTGTCTCCATAGATTTGACTAATTTAGGGATCTTTCATAAGTAGAATCACGAGTTAGGTGTGGTGGCTCAAGTCTGTAATCCTAACACTCTGAGAACTGAGTCAGGAAGGTCTCTGTGAGTTCAAGACCAACCTGGGCTACAAAGTAAGTTCCCTGCTGGTCTGTGCTGTATTGTGAGACCCCCTTCCTCAAGAAAAATAATTGAGCTAGGGACTAGTAGTGTAAGTCTTTAATCCCAGCACTCAGGAGGCAGAGGCAGGTGGATCTCTGTGAGTCTGAAACCATCCTGGTCTACAAAGTGAGTTTTTGGACAGCAAAGGCTACATAGAGAAACCCTGTCTCAAAAAGCATCAAGCAAACAAAAACAAACAAATGAAAAAGAAAAATGACTGAAATTGTATGGAAGTTATTCTTTTGTGTCTTTAGGAGAAGTGTAAAAACATAAATACTTAAATCCAATCCTAGGCCAATCCAATGAGAATTTTGGAGAGCGAATCCCAGACACTGGCGGTTTTATTAAAGGCTCCCAGGGTTCTGACGGACATCCATAGAAACAAGTAGGCTGAAGGTTTGAGTCAGTGAGTCCCTCCCTATCACAGACACACCCCAGCACCTGCTAACAGGTGCCTTGAAGTCTTATCTGAGAGTGATCCCTCCACGTGTTTAAGTGATTGTTAGAGCAGCACAGTTATGATTTGACCTCACTGTCTCTCCCAGGCTTGTGGTTTGAACACTTATTCCCTGCTTGCTATCTTAGCAGACTGTGGAACTCCTGGCACTTGGGGAGGGGTGGGTTGAGGATGAAGGATCCAGATTTCAGGGTCATTCTCAGCTGTACAGACAGTGTGAGGCCAACCTGGGCCACATGAGGCTCTGTCACAGAGGACTGAGGTCATTGAAGTTCCTGTAGTTTGGTTAGCTGCCTGGGTGTATGGCATGGAGTCCATTCTATATAAGCTATCTTGCTTTCTGTCCTCCAGAGGAATGAGCACAGAGACCACGGCTGCAGCTTAAACCTTGGACAGTGGCAACACCCCTCAACCAAGTAGCTTAGCTGGCAAAAGGAGGGATCAGGCCTTTGAAGGTTCTGCCATGATGCCTGCAGTCTACCTGCTCCTCGGTTCACTGCAAAGGAAACAGTCTCTGCCACACACCCCTGCTCCTGAGATCTGAGCTACTCAACCCTGCTCCCCCACCATAGTGGACACACCCCTGCTCCTGAGATCTGAGCTACTCAACCCTGCTCCCCCACCACAGTGCACACACTTCTGTGGCTGAGATCTGAGCTGTTTACTTAGCCCTGCTCCCCCACCATAATGGACTGAACCTTCTGAAACCTAAAAGTAAAATAAATCTTGCCTCCCTCAAGATGCTTCTGTTGGAAATATGAAAGAGTGATTTGAAAGTACAAACTCCATTCTGTCTTCCCCAGCATGGGATTCAATACTAAAGTGACAAGGGAAGGGTCTGAAACAAAAGGTGTCTCTTCTCACGAAGTTTTTCATGGGTTTAGCTATGTCAGCGTGTGGGTACCTATGTGGGAGGGCCCTAGAAGACCAGAAGAGGGTGTCAGGTCCCTGGGAGCTGAAGTTACAGGCAGTTGTGAACTGCCCCAGGTAGGTGCCAGGGGCCAAACTCAGGTCCTGTGTAAGAACAGAAAAGGCTCTTAACCACTGAGCCGTTTCTCCATTCCCCCTGTTGGGGATTTAAAAGAGAGAAATAGACAAGTGCCTGACACCAGCCCGCCACTCCTCTGCCAACGCCCTTTTGTTCTTTCCTTACCTCTTTCTGTGGGGCTGGAGCATGGGGCTTAGTGGAGGGAAGGGCAGACCAGGTCTGCAGTGGTGGCCCCTGTTGTACAGCAGCTGAAATCTCAGCCCCAGCAAACTTCAGTCAGGAGCAGTCTAAGATGACTAAAACCTCCATTGCTTAGAGGTCCCGCCCTGGGAGTGGCTCCGACATCTGCGAGGAGGATAGACTTGCATGTGGGTGGCAGGGCCAGGCTGCTGGAGGCCCTGAGAATCTCTTGTGAGGCTTTTGAGGACAACCAGGTTCTCCTCCTCTGCTGGCTCTGGTCCTGTCGGACTCAACACACACAAAAGCCATGGGAACCCTTGAGGGCCACCTGCTGCCAGGAATAGGCTTCCTTATCTACTCGGTCTACTACTCGGTGCTAACATCCTTGGCCCTGCTACGGGGAGAGAAGGCCCTCCAGCACCCGCTGCTCCCGAGGAAGCTGCGGGGACACAGGCTGTTTCAGCAGGTATCGTATGAAGCCGTGACGAAGGTGGTTGTCCCCACCTTTGGCATTCTTGGTGAATACTTCTACCCCCTCGGGGTCAATCGCCTGCAGATGATAGATTGGACGGACCCCCGGCGGCCATTTATCTTCAAGGACAACTGGCAGCACGTAACCATGTTTGGGTTCTTTATTCTCAGTGGCGTAGTAGACATGGTGAGCCAGTCACACCTGCCCCGTTGGGGTGTGAAGCTGGAACGCGCGGCCGAAGCGCTGGCCTTCTATGTGCTGGTATTGCTGATGGCAACCCACATCGAGAACAAAAACTCCTTGGAGATCCGAGTGCATCTTCTGTTAATGCTACCCTCCTTCCTGCTTGCTGTGGTGCTCACTGTGGAGGTATGGATCCCCAACAATCCCTCGATCTGGCTCCTTAAGAGTTGGCTGGGGTTGGTGTTAAGCAACTGGATGATGCAGCTTTGCGAGATGTACGTACCTCCCACTGGACAGCCCTGGCGGGCAGACAACCCTACAGACCTTGCTTTCCTAACCATCTTCTTCTGCTGGCATCTGGCCTTGGCGGCTGGCGTGGTGATCACCATCTACGGCCTCTGCAGGCTCTGGCACTGCTACTATTCTTCCTGGACAAAGACTCCTGGTGCTAAGTACCAGCGGTGCCCTATGGAATCCAGTGAAGAACTAGAGAAGCTCAAGGCAGAGGCCCTGGCACAGGATGGAGGTGTGTAGAGACAGAAGCTGCCTCTCGAGTGCTGTATGCACAACCTGGGATCCGTAGCACGGCTTCCCACCCCAGGACTAGCTTCTTCTTCCTAAATAAAACTTCTAGCTCCAAGGATAACTTCTTGGTTGTCACTTTGTTCTGTCCAGGTCAGTGTCTTACCTGTTTCCTTATCTATATGGTTTCTGGTCATTCGAATGCAAAGAAAAAAAGGACGTTCTTCTGTAATAACTTTGGGGAGGTTTTTTCTTTTTAAATAAGAAAAGAAACAAACTGAGTATGTCTATGGACCACTGAGAAAGGGATTGCATTGAGGGGGTTCGGGCAGTTTACCGAGGGTTCGAGTCAGGAGCGAGAAGAGTGTAAGGAGGAATTCTAGAAGGTGGTTGTAATAAGGTGATTAAAATATAATTTGGGGCTGGTGAGATGGTTCAGTGGGTAGAGGCACCTGCCACGAACCTCAGGACCTGAGGTCCAGCACTGTCCCTCAGTGTAGAAGGGGAGACCCGACTCTTAAAAGCTGTCCTCTGGTAGTTCTGTGGCACGCATGCCTCCACACACACACGGAAAAGAATAAGATGTTGTTAAAATGTTAAAGCAGATTTAAGGGCTGGGGATGCATCTCACGGGTAAAGTGTGCGCCTAGCGCGCATGGGGCTAGGTTCACTCTCTAGCCATGCAGAATCAAAAGCAAACAAATAATTTGAAGTGGCTTAGTTTTTGGCTGCGATACAGAACAACTTGCTCCAACTCCTTCAGAAAGTCTATTGTGTGTGTCATATCCTATGTGAGCACTCTGGGGAGAGACTGAAGAAGAGATCGGATACACTTGAGGATGGGGGTGGAGGAGAAGTCGCCGCGAAGTGGGGCCAATCTCTGTGGACATCGCCAAATGAGATGCAGACACCCAACATCTGGAAGCCTGAAGAAATGGCGGGATAGGAGGAGGGGCTTGGCAGGCATGTGGAAAGGGGTAATGGAGAGAAGTGGGCACCATGGAGCCGCTGCATTCGCTCTCCCCGTGCAACCAGGAGTGCTCTCCTTGAAGGACTGGAAGCTTCTAGAAGCACAGAGGGTTGCAGATAGCAGACAAGGCATTTGAAAATGTCACAGGCACCCAGGAAAGAAACAATGTGTGGACGGTGGTGTCTGGAGAGCAGAGACTGGTGTAGAACAGGGAGACTTATGCTAGCAGAGGGGCCTGGCCTTCTCTCCCCCGCACAGCGGGAACCAACCCAACCACAAGCTGTTTTCTATGCCCAAATCCCAGAGCCAGAACCTGGTTCTAAGACTAAAAAATCTTAAGGTTTGAGGCGCCTCAAGTTCTACGGCATGTTCATGAGTTTGGGACAGTGTTCATGTTATCATTGAAAATTTGTATATCATGAGTCAGTCACCAAAGTGAAAATTTAAATTTTTTTTTTCCCCTCTAAAAACTGGTCTCCAAGGTGCATAAGCTTTGTACTCTGTAGAACCTGGCTCTGCCTCATCCCACAGGCTTAACGTGCTGACAGGGCGTGCCAGACAAACCCATCTCTCCTGGATTGACAGCACATTCTTCCTAAGAGGGTGGTGTTAAAACTTGTCCCTATGCAGCCTGAAAGAGAAAGCTTAGGATGGGAACGGCATTACACACAAGTCGGGAGTCACTTGCCGAGGTGTAAGTCCTAGGTCAACAATAGAAACGAGGGACTGGGACAGTAGCTAAGAGGTAGTGTTCTTGCCTGGTATGTCAGGAGGCCTGGGTTCTAGCACCACGCCAGCACCACACAGACAAGCAGAGAGTTAGCACACCCTACGCATGGTTTAGAAAAGGGCATGGGAGTTAAGGGAAGATGGTTCCGCAGCCGGAGACAGGCACAGGTTACACAGGTTGATCACTGTACTTCTCTGTGCTCAGGGTGGGGTTTGCCTGCACATCGGGACCTTGTGGGGTACATTAGTCACTGTTTTCTGGAGAAAACAGGATGTTGAGATAGAGAGACAGACAGACGGCAAAGCATGGCATCTCCAAAACTCTGCAGGACAGGACAGGAGGACAGAGGCCAGGGGCAAGTAGAAGCCTCATTCTTGAATTCCTAAGTTTTGTACAAATAGAGATCTCTCAGGGGGTATTAGCTCTTGCTAGGACTTTCAATGGCTGTATGAATGAATCCCGTGCTCACTGTAAAGGGTGAGTTTCTTGTTCAAGTGCTGCTTTAAGTGTTAATCACACCTGAAAAATACCATCACAGTCACAGCTACAAGGATATGTGACCAAACTGGATGCTACAGCCTAGCCCAGATGACATAAAATCAGCTGTCATACCCAGCACACAGGACATTGCCATCAGACACTTTTATTAGCTTGTAATCTTTGGAGACTTTCCAAAATAACAATACTAATTTTATTTTAGAGAAATTTCACCATTAAGACCCTGACTAGTGTGTTAATATACATGTAATCTGACCTGGACTTTGGTTCCCAGCTTTATCGAGTGGGGGAAGAGTTTATAGATAGGTGACAGCTATCTTTTTATTGTTGTTTTGCTTTTTTTCGAGACAGGGTCTCTCTGTGTAATTCTGGCTGTTCTAGAACTCACTCTGCAGACCAGGCTGGCCTCGAACTCACAGAGATCCACCTGCCTCTACCTCCTGAGTGCTGGGGTTAAAGGCATGCACCACTATATCTGGCTGGTGACAGATACCTTAAAAAAAAAAAACAATGTTCAAGGGATTTTTTAAAATTTTTATTAATGTGCTGTGCATATATAAATTTATTACTATACATTTTGCATTTTAGACGTTTTAGAAAATGTTGAAAAGTATTTTGAAACATGCCCGGTGCCATAATCCCAAACTAATTATTGCCAACAGGGCTAATGGGTTGATGACAGGGCTTTTCTTGCTGACATCTCAAATCATGCTTGGTGACTCAGGCAAGGTAAGGCAAGAGGCTTAGAGGAAAGATCCTAAAGATGAAGAAACCAAGAGCGGGAACCTAGTGTTGTGGTAGGGAATTGAGAAAGGATGATCACAATACGAGGAAATGACAGCCCTGGGTTGGGGAATCCCGAGCCTTTGTCCTCAGTGAATTCAGAGGTCACCATGGAGAAGGATGAAAGGGAAGGCACCGAGGACAGGATGACCTTTAGAGGGGGAAGCGACCAGGGTTAAGCAGGAGAGGATGGCTCAGAGACAGCAGTGGGGACCTCACCGCTGCAATCCCGGAGCTGAGAGGACCGGCTGCAGCGGAGGCCACTCTGGACCATGTGAGCGCCTATTTCAAAAAGAGCAAATGAGAGGAGCCAGGGAGATGACTCAGGGCTCTGCAAACACAAGGCCTGAGCGTGAACCCTCAGCACAGAGGTAAGTGGACATGGCGGTGTGGGCCTGTCACCCCAGCATTCGGGGCAAAGGCAGCAGACCTCATTGGCCAGCCAGCCGGCAGAAATGGTGAGCTTTGCGCTCTTGTCCATGTGTGCATGCATACCACCATGCTTCCCGCCATGCCGATAATGGACTAAACCCTCTGAAACTGTAGTATTGCAGGTTTCTGGTCATGCTGTGAACCCCTAGATTTAGTTATTTCCCGAAGAAGCCTGATTGTAGTTGTGTTGTTTCAGCCCTAGACACACCTTTTCTCCAAGAGTTTTCTGCTTGAACATTGTAAACAGTAAACAGCAAGCAACCATTTGACAGGAGGAAAAGCCGTACAGAGTTAGACTGAATCAGGAGCATGGACAGAGAGATACACAGGGAGTGTAAGGGAAGGACATTCAGGGAGAGGGGGGGCTTTTAGGGAGAGCTTCAGCCATCTTTTCCATACTGTGGGTAACAACAAAAAATGAAGGGCAAAAGAACCAAGAACCTTGCTGGGGCAATCGCCTTCAAAGGGTTTTCCTAATATTCTTCCAGTTGGTGTGTGAAGAAGAAACATTGAATATTAAGCTATCTAGCAAGAGTTGTTACAGAAATAAGATGCAAATGTGCTATTATAGTATATACTACAAAAATGCAGAAAATTTCTTTATTTGGCTGGTATGGGAGCTTTCTGTCAATGAACCATACTGAATGAAACAGTAAAAATGAAGTTAAGAAACAGACTGATTGGGTTTGTTTTTATTTCAATAATGACAATAAATTACAGCTTGAAAAAAGAAGAAATGGTGAGAATGGCGAGCTTCTGGTTCAGTGGGAAACCCTGTTTCAGAACAATAATATGGAGAGTGATGGAGGAAGACCCAGTGTTCTGTCTGCTCTGGCCTCTGCATGGGTACACACAAAGTGAAAATTGAGACCAGTTAAATACACTGGAGAAAAAGATACTTAGGGCCAGGCAGCATTTCAGAGCAAAGATGTTCCAGGACATCCCCTCCCTCCAGAGGTTATATTTATAGGCAGTGAACAGGAAATGGCATACAGAAACAACCTGACTAGGGACTTGGATTCAGTCAGTAAAATGCCTGCCCTGCAAGTCTGAGAACCTAAATTTAGAGTCACAGCATCCACAGAGAAGCCAGGCATGGCAGCATGCATCTATAATCCCAGAACTGAAGGGACAGAGAAGTGGGTTCCTAGAGCTAACTGGTCAGGGAATCTAGTCAATCACCATTCTTTGGATTAACTGGGAGACCCAATCTCAAAAATTTACTTGTGGAAAAAAAGTAAGACACTTGAAGTTAACCTCTAGCCTCCACATACATATGCACAGATATGCATACAGATACACATAAGCACACCCATACAATCATGTGTGTATTCTATATACGTGTTACAAACACCCCTCTCCTCCCCCCACCACATAAGAAGACAATAGCCTTTTTTGGTTGCAGTTGTCATTTCGTATGGCCATATTTTAAACAGTTTTTTTTCTTTCTTTCTTTCTTTTTTTTTTTTTTAAAGATTTATTTATTTATCATGTATACAACATTTCTTTCATGTATGCTTGCATGCCAGAAGAGGGCACCAGATCTCATTATAGATGGCTGTGAGCCACCATGTGGTTGCTGGGAATTGAACTCAGGACCTCTGGAAGAGTAGTCAGCGCTCCTAACCTCTGAGCCATCTCTCCAGCCCTTTAAACAGTTTTTAAATTTACTTATTGATATGTGTGTGTGTGTG